GGGAGGACATGTTAGAGTATTGACTGAATTACGATAATGTTGTATTTTGAATTTATAATTTAGTGCTTCAGCCCGCATCGTGGTTCTTCCGCACGATCTCCTAGTTACCACTACACCACCTACGATTATCACTTGCGGATTTCATGCTCTGGATCACACCACACTCACCCAACTGTCACAAGGCCTCACTAAAAGGTTGATATAGTTGAACATTCTGAACCTTCTACTGGCCAGAGCATTCTCACTACCCTAGGTATACTCACACTCACCCCCAATTATTCGCATTGGACTGTTGGCTGGAGATTCTGATACTTCATTGTCAAGCATCTATACCAGTTATCCGTACATAGAAATACCAACTCACACTTGAGAGTTTTGATTCTAATGTCAAATTCATAAATTTTAATCCTTATTTGATTTTTGTCCACATAATTTATTTGAAATTAATAATTAATTAATTGATATAATTATATAAGTTATAAACATTAGATAGATGGAATGGGAGTAAGACTTCTTAACTTCTTTAACGTGTTGGCTCCCAACCAGATGAACGCAAGCAAGGTTTAACCCATCTATGAAGCCTTCCAAGCATCAATGCACATGGGGTTATGGGGCCAAATATTGCTTGATGCTTTTTGTCATCAATAATGTTGAGGATTAAGATTTTGAGGCAAGTTCCAAATGTGCTCCATTTCGTCTCTCTCGATTGTAGCATTGTTTACTAACACTAGTTTCAGCAAGGGAGACTGGAAGTGGGGCTAGGGTATCCCCTTTTTCCCAATTTAAATGTTTTGCATGATAAGTCAATCTCTTTTTTTTTTTTAGTTTCCTCAAGATATCCCTTATATAGTTGAAGACTAATTCTTTTGAGACATAGCCATCTATCAAATGTGCCGGACTTTGTTGGTTAAGTAATTCTTTTAAATTATATATAATTTTGCCCCATTCACATATATAATTGTGCCTTCTTTCGCAAATTTTCTTGGGTGGGACTTATAAATGGATTATCCTTAAAAATCAAAATCAGCTAGTTGTAGTGTCGTGACTTTCTCTGATCCGGTAGTAAGGCATCAAAATTCAAATTTCACAAAAAATAAAAAAGGGAGAACATAAACATCCCATTATCAACCTAGTGGGATGGGCCAACATGTCAAGAGATAAACGTGGGTGTAACGTGGATGGATTGAACCATATAATAAATATATATACGCGTGTATGTATTGTCACGGTCGCACTAATCCTTGCATGGAAACTAAATCACTGTATTTTCTTGGAAGACAAGTATAATTAAATTGTAGTTTAAAAAATAATAGGAAGAAAAAGATCACACAACCATTAACTTTGGGTATAATGCTTCAAACTAGCGCAAGTAATGGGGTGAGGTGAGCTGTACTGGAATACGCGTATTTGAAGTTTGATATTTGATAGCAACACTCGCTTAGAAAGGTGGATAAGTTCACAGCTTGCAAAAGCATGTAGAAGTCCAAGTCCATCTGGCTTTACTCGTTGAGCATCTTATGCGCCTAAAAGAAATAAAATAGAATAATATCATATCGTTGGGTCTACTCTCTCCATCTCATCCTCATTATTATGCGTTACAGGTAGGGATGACAAAAATGTTCGAATCCCTTAGAATACGTGGGGATTACTCGTGACATGACTGACATAAGATGAATACCCGTTTCATAAATAGGGGTAATAAATTTGCAAAATATATTTTCTTATTTAATATGCTATATATATATATATATATATATATATATATATATATATATATATTATGAGAAAAATGTTTATAATTTTAAATGACACAAAGTTATGTCATTTTTAATAAAACTATGTTGTTTTGGTGCGTTTTTACATTCTCTCACCTTCATTTTCTTTTTATTTCTAATTTTATAAATTAGAAAAAATAACAAAACATATCAAAATGACGTAGTTTCATTAAAAATGACACAAAGTTGTGTCATTTAAAATGACAAACAGTAAACTCATATATTATAATGATTTTCTTATAAATAAATCCATAATGATAGAAATTGTTAAAAAAAAAAAGAACTATACATAAGCAGAGAAACCTCACTGATTTTCTCAGGACTGATTAGGAAAATGACACTTCGCACAAATAAATAAAGACATAAAGTCATGCAACAGATAATGCATAGTTGACTACTTCGGAAGATTTTTTATTTTTTATTTTACATATATTTGTGCCGTCACGCGCCTGCAGATATTCATGACTTGCTCCAATCCATTTTAATGAATTAATCAAACTTAGGCAATATTTGATATGAACTGAGTTTTTGATGCAATAGAATCATGCACAAAAAGTTAAACACAAAGATTTGGTCATACGACATAATCATGTTAAAAATCACATGATAAAAATCCCGAAAAAAGAACACTCTCTCAGGCCTTGGCCTTCTTCATTAACCCTTTTGTTCGTCTAATCCTGTTGGCAGTGATAAGCACGCGCATATAATAAGGCCGGCACTGGTTGGTTGATTGGTTCCCAGTGATAACTATAACTGGCGGCGATAATCGCGGGTCATCTAAATTAGTTTCAAAGGTTTAGGTTGGATCAAATGTCATTCGAACCACTGCCTCGGGAATGGAACCATGGCTCACGGTATGCAACCATTCAGCTTCAGCCTTATTAACCACGGCTTCTTCTAAAATACAGTACTTATGTCAACGTAGCAATTAGATATCTCTTAATTATTTTAATAAACTTTTGATTTATTAATACAAAATTTTCCAAGAAGATTATGTGTTGCATGACACCCTGTATCCAAATGGGTTTCAAGTTGACTAGTTGCTATAACTGGGTCCTTTGGGTCCTTAACTGGCGCCAATTCGGATAAAGAAACAAAAAGAAAGCAATTAAAAAGCATTTCTTTTAAGCAATTTCCGTAGCGTGAGATGATGATGAACCAATCACCTCATAAAGCAGGACCAGGTAAATGTAAAATTATCGAAGCTTTAGATAAACTCACGTCATTTTTTACGTGAGCCGAGGTTTCTCTATCTTTAATTATAACTACTCTCTCACCTCATTTTTTTTATACTTCATATTTTGATTTGAGAAAGATTATATTTATAAAGTTTTTTTTATAAATTCTTACAAATTTAATTATTTACTAAGAATAGTATATAAATCAATTCATATACTGCTCTTATTGTATAGTTAAATAAAAAATTTATAAATATAAATCTGACTCCAACGTTAAACGGACATCATCTCATCCCTTAAAATGATGGTTCGCACATTAAACACCGCATGATATCTCCAATTACGACATGATTTTCATTAACTTAATATATTCACCAAGCCGACATCAATTATATAAGACACTTGATATAGGGAGTGGATCCTCTCATGTGCTAATTAACATGATCATGTCATGTGGGGCAATCATAACCATACATAGGTGAGTTAATAGTGATAAAAGAGAAGAGAAAAAAATATAAAGATAAGAAGTTACACAATCATTACCGTTGATTTAATTATTAATGGTTAGGATTCTCCCGCATGACATAATTATGTTAAATTACACATGAGAGGATCCATTTCCTTGACATATGTGTGCAATAGCTTTTTGCCCTTTTCACATTAGCTACCAATAATTTTTTTTTTTTATTTCAAACAAAAATCATGCAATTATTACGTGCAGAGGAACGAAAAAAATGGGCGAAACACTTATCAAATATCTCAAAATGTTGTGTATCTTGTTGATTTCTAATGAAGTAAGGTATGTAATCGCCCCTCTCCCGTTCTAAATTATAAAATTATTATTAACTAGTGTAAGAATATATATATATCTCTTCTTTCATTCACAGTGTTTTCCTTATTAATTGTCGATAACAAATCTTCATAATTAACAACATTAAAAAAAATTAAATATTAAAAAATACTACTCTCATTTAACATGAGATAGTTATCTCATTTTCTCTCACATCAAAAATCGTACCACTTTATTTATTTTATTTTTTATTTTTTAATAATAGGTCTCACTTAAACTCTCTTTATAACAGGAGAGAATTACTCCCATGTAAGTTGTAACATAAGTCTAATATTTTCCTTAAATATTTGGGACATACTGTGAGTATGTATCAGAAGCAACAACAAATGCGACTCAATGCTTAATCGGACGCTTCAGGGAGCGCCGCAAGAGAAATAAGTCAAAGACAGTGACATTGACCGGATAATACGGTCACTGGCTTGTAAATGGCTCGCAGCAGCGCCGAGCGAAAGATGAAAACGGTGCGTATTTGCCACGTCATTATTATTATTATTTTTGGAAAGAAAACGAAATGGTTCATTGCGCTTTTATTCTCCTCTCTCTCTTTCTCTTTCTCTCTCTCTGTGTATCAACAAACAACCATGGAATATTTGCAACACAGTGGGATCCGCGTTTTTCAATCGCAACTAGCAATCCGATTCAACATATCTTCACATTTTCGCGCCTGAAATCGATCGCCATTTTTCTCTTCTTCCCTGTAAAATTTTCCCTCTCCACATTCCTTTCCATTCCATTGCGTTTCATTTCATGCTTTTTTTGTTTCCGATTTGTAATTTTAGTAATATCCTAATCATGTGACTCGTAGCTTTGTGAATTTCTCCCTCATTGCTGTATTTCTTGCTATTGATTTTTTTTTCTTCAACGACATTCAATGTTATACCATTTCAGGCAACTAGTATTGATAATTTATTTTATAACTGTCATTATTTCGTGTACATTGTGATCTTTATTGTTGCTGATAAATATTGTTGTTGATTGCTTATGAAAATGCTTGATTAGCTTTGGAATTGGAGAAAAAGGAAAACAGTTTTAAGATTTTATTTTATTTTTAATTAATGTGTTTATTTTGTTTCTTTATTTAGGATTTGATTGAAATAGCAGTTAATGGAGGATTAAGGCAGCACGCGTTCTTCGTCTTCTTCTTCTCGTGGTAAAGTAGTTAGGATTTGTAATTTGAGGATTGAGGGGAAGCGTGAAAAATGGCTGCTAGGAGTGAACACCAAACCGTTCCCCTTTCCGTGCTCCTAAAGCGTGAATTGGCGAACGAGAAAATTGAGAAACCTGAGATTCTTCATGGTCAAGCGTGCCAGAGCAAGAAAGGAGAGGATTTCACTCTGCTGAAGACGGAATGCCAGAGGGTGGTGGGTGATGGGGTCTCTACATATTCCGTTTTTGGAGTACGTTTCTCGATCCCTACTTTTCCAGATTCAATCACATTGTTTTTTTGTTCGGATTTGATGGGTTAAAACTTGTCAAGAGGTTTTAATTTGATTTATTTTGTGTACATAATGACTTGTCATCATTTTATGGCATGACATAATGAATGAGAGGAAAAAAAGGATTAAGCGTCATCCTTGTCACAAAACTATCTTATTGCAAGGATAACAGATGTAAATGATTTCAACTTGTGAACTGGCTACTTTTAATAGATTTACTTAGAATCCAATGTATTGTTTTTATGCTTATATTAGATGTACTTGACTTTTAGTTCATAGTTGACCTAGATTGTCGAAAGTGTTTAGCAAGTTGCATATGATGTCTCCGTTAAAATGGAGGACCTCATATTGCTGACTTTATAGCTCAGTTGATGTCAAAAGACTATATAATGCCCAGGTGTTTTCCCCTCAGCTTTGATTTTCTGGCTATGGTTTTGTTCTTATTCACTGATTTTAGTTGCATCACAAGGAGCATTCTAGCCTCTTCTGCACTGAATGCTAATGACTCAATACACTATTTTTATTTATTTATTTATTTATTTTATATAGTTTCTGCCCTTTGTGCACTTTCCCTGGTTTCATTTTCTGATGTAAAAGTTTTACAGATATTTGATGGACACAATGGATCTGCTGCTGCTATTTATGCTAAGGAGAATCTTCTAAATAATGTTTTAAGCGCGATTCCTTTGGATCTTAATAGAGATGAGTGGGTAGCAGCGTTGCCTAGGGCTTTAGTTGCTGCCTTCGTAAAAACTGATAAAGATTTTCAACAGAAAGGTATGGTTGGTTCATTCCTTGTTTAGGAGGCAAATTCATGTACAGCAACTGGAATCTTCATGCTGATACTACCAAGAGTATCTGTACATATTTCTAATTTTTGTTGTCATCTATCACTCGGGGCTTCTCAAAGTTAAAATGTAAATAACAAAAGGAAAAAGAAAAGCTTTGCAATATGTTTAAAAGCTTTGCAATATGTTCACTGGATATGTGGACCATATTCTGAAGCCGTGGCATCATAATTTTGGTATTTCTAACCTCTGTTAGAAGGTTTGCTAATAGCTTTGTTTGAAAGCAAAGCTATTATAATCTTGCCTCTTGCCATAATTTTTTGATTTTCTTAAGATTTTGAATGCAAATGTTCATGGATTAGAAAATTCCTACACAAAGTGGGAAAGCCCGACTTTTTACTTTTATTTTTATTTTGTTACCATGTAAGGTTTTTTGAAAATGGATATTGGAATTAGTTGGTTTAAGTTGGGTTTCTTTGCTTGTTTTAAACTCTGGACATGAATCTTGCTTGTTTGTTTTAGGCAACAGTTCCAAGTCCAACTAGCTTTAACAATTTGACATTGCTTTGACTTGAGTATGCAAATTTATCAAGACAACCGAATTTTACAATTCCAAACAAAAGTTAATTCTTTCTTAAAATATCGCGTTACAGGTTTGACAAGCAATTTGGGTAGTTCCATACTTCCTTGATAAGATCTAGTTAAGTTGGTAGGCATCTTCATAATAAATATTTATGTGGTCTGCCCTTTTTGGAGTTTAAATGAATTTTGCTTAGGTTCGGCCTGAGATTCTAGAAATGAACATAATAGATTCATTTGTTGCTGTTTAATCACTTGTCCTGTGGTTCTAAAGGGTTTTTCCCTCTAGCTCTTGTTGGACTGTTTAATTGGCCATGTCAATTAAATTTCAGTAGTAATATTGCTGCAGCTTGACCCTTAAAATTGTCTAATGCACAGTGCATGGTAACTATTGTGGACCACATTGTTTACTCACATGGAAACTAGAGTTGACACAGAATTTAAATTGCAGAGTGCATCAAATGATGTGGTTGCAACATCTCGGTTGCGGCAGCTGCCATAGTCACGTCACATTACAAATGTGGACCACATTGGCCTGCGTTGGTTCGCATAAACCTGCAACAGCTGCAGCGTGACCGTGACTGTAATGTCACTGCAACCACAATTTAGATCTGGATGCTATTTATGCATAATAGAGATATATTCTATGGTTGATGAAGAACATCAATTATTAATGAAAGTTATTGAGATGGTGTAACTGAGCTGCGATTGATGGTTTTTATAATCGAATTAATTTTTTTTATATTTTGTCATTACAGGACAAAAATCGGGAACTACTGTAACCTTTGTGATTATAGAAGGATGGGTTGTAACAGTTGCATCAGTTGGTGATTCCCGTTGTGTACTTGAATCTTCTGATGGTGGTATTTATTACTTGTCTGCAGATCATAGGCTAGAAACAAATGAAGAGGAGTAAGTTGCTAACGCAATGTTTTTGTTGAACAACTGTATGAAATTGCTGTTATAACAAGTCTCACCATTCTCTTATTTATATCAGGAGGGTGCGCATCACCTCTAGTGGGGGTGAGGTTGGTCGGCTAAATACAGGGGGAGGTGCAGAGGTATGTTTCCTTTTAAGTTTTAATATTGATCCCTTTTAACCTAAATGGTAGTTGCTCCATAACAAGCTTCAATAACCCACTCCCTACTACCTCCAAAAAGAAGGAAAAATTTGACTGCTTGTTTGAGTATCTGATGCCTCTAGTGGTACTTTTATTTTGTTGTACACTATGCTTCCCAGTTAAACTACGTAATCAGAGATTAAGAAAGTAAACTAGGTGAACCATACCATGGAGAACTGAGAGGCGAGTGTACGCTTGTTGATTACATTGCATGATATGACCCTATCAACTTAACAGTAGAATACTCATTGCATTTCATAAATTTTTTACAGTCTTTTAAGGAAACATTTGTTTACATTTTGTGTTGCACTGACCATATCTGATGATAGGTAATTATCTCCCTTTGTGATTTACCAATACTAAATTAGTAATATGCCTGACTACATTAATGATTTTGTAGGTTGGTCCTTTGAGATGTTGGCCTGGTGGCTTGTGTCTTTCACGATCTATTGGAGATATGGATATTGGTGAATTTATTGTCCCTGTACCATATGTAAAGCAAGTGAAGGTTCGTTACTCTGTCCTGCTCACAGCAGTGTTGGGCTGATGTAGATTAGATTAGTTTCGTTTCACTTGTATCCCTTACTTAGTTTATTTGATTCCTTTCTCTTCTGTTTAATCCTACACATTTTCATATCTGTTTCATCTTATACATGAACATGTAGTTTCTTCTAAGCATGATTTTCTACTATTTCTTTTTTCAATGGAGAAATTCCCCACCCATCCCCCAGTCCAAAGAATAGAGTATATGTTGTTGAGCCAGTGTTTCTGCTAACCACACAGTGGTTCAAAATATTGTGTAGCAAATGATTAGATTCTTATGAGGAGTGGTGGTAAATTTGTCATGCTTTCATATCTGTTTCATCTTACACATGCACATGTAGTTTCTTCTAAGCATGATTTTCTACTATTTCTTTTTCGATGGAGAAATTCCCCACCCATCCCCCAATCCGAATGAAAGAGTATATGTTGTTGAGCCAGTGTTTCTGCTAACCACACGGTGGTTCAAAATATTGTGTGGAGCAAATGATTAGATTCTTATGAGGAGCGGTTGTGAATTTGTCATGTTTTCGAAGATTTCCTTGTGTGTGTTTTTCTTTTTCCTTTTTTATTCAATTAAGAGTTTAATTTCTGACTTCCCTCCCCCCACCCCCATTTATTTCTGTTCATTCAGCTGTCCACTGCCGGAGGCCGTCTTGTTATCTGCAGTGATGGTGTTTGGGATGCTCTACCTGCTGAAGTAGCCCTTGATTGTTGTCGTACCATGTCAGCAGAGGCTGCTGCACCACATATTGTTAAAGTGAGAATGATGTGCTTCCTTTGAATCTTTTTGTGAATTTTGTTTAGTGGCCCTGTTTTCATGCTGGATGTAACAGTAGTCCCGACTTCAACACCCTAAGATACCATGTTTGCATTAGTTTCTCCTGATAATTTTGTCATTTAGTGATATGATATATGTATTTCTATTCTACCCTTAATTTCCTTCTCTTTCTATCTTCAGGAAGCTTTGCAAGCAAAGGGACTTAGAGATGATACAACCTGCATCGTTGTTGATATATTAGCATCGGAGAAGCCCCCTGCTTCTGTGCCACAATCGAAGAAGCCAGTAAAAGGAGTGCTCAAGTACGTCTTTCGTAAAAAGTCTTCTGATTCAGCAAACATTGACAAAGAATACATGGAGCCAGATGTAGTAGAGGAAATGTATGAGGAAGGATCTGCTATGCTTTCAGAGAGGTTTAGTTTTGTAATAGCCGTTTTCAAAGTTGGCAGCTTGCTCTAAATTTTTTTGGCCTGACAATAGAACATGTTTGTCTGAAATGCAGGTTAGATACGAAGTATCCACTCTGCAATATGTTCAAGTTGTTTATGTGTGCAGTATGTCAGGTAGAGATAAAACCTGGAGAGGGGATTTCAATACATGAGGGTGCGCTTAACCCTCAAAGATTGCGTCCCTGGGATGGACCTTTCCTTTGCTTAAGTTGCCAAGAGAAGAAAGAAGCCATGGAAGGGAAAAGATCATCAGGTGTTTTGAAGACTCTTCTTCATTTCCGTCCATCTTCCTAGAGATATACATTTCCATATATATATATATATATATATATATATATATATATATATATTTTGAAATACATGTCCATACTTTAATCCCCTCCTTTTGATCTTTCGATTTCAGATAGACTTAGCAGCGGAAGTGACGAGTGAACTCTCATGTATATTTGCATTTTGAGAGTGATAAAAGTTGTTTAGTTAACGTGAAGGTTGAACTTCCAAGCAACAATGTCTCCCTTCTATTATCACAGGGGCTTTACGGATCTAATTTCGAATTCGACATGCATTTGAAAAACCAATAGCTGCATGTTAGGGGATTTCTGACTTGGAAGTATGGAATAGCAACCACCCAAGTTTTTAGTGAAAGGTTGTGTTAAAAGTGGCAGTGCACAACAGGATGTCAGAGATAATTCAATTTTTTTTTTAAATATTTCTTTTTTCTGGGATCCGTTCATTTGTATATGGTTTCTTTGGAATCACTATATAGACCTTAAATGATAGCGGTCTTTGTTATTATAATTTGATATAGGGAGTTTAATTAGAATTGATAGATCAATTCTACTGTAGGATAGACGTATGTTAAGCCTTTTAAATGATTTATTCTTGAAGCAGTCGATATTGATGATTCCTTTTTCAATACGAACATTAGATCTTTTGCAATAAATATGTTAGGTGCATGTTACACCCCACCCAGTTTTGTTTTTTCTTTTCTTTTCCTTTTTTTTTTTGTGTTGGATGCATGAGGAGGAACAAAGACCAGGAATAATTTCTAGCAGATAAACCAGTGCATGCGTTTTGCACGTACAATGATATGTTCCGTTAAAATACACGGATAAATTTTATACCAAAAAAAAAAGAAAAAAAAAAACACGGATAATTTATACATTTACTCTCTCTCTCTACATTTTAACATAAATATAATTCTTAGTCGTGGTAAACAACTTACAATTAGTGTTTTAAAATCACGTTCCTATCCCCGGGTCGATCCGAGTCGACCTAGTTCAACCCTGACCCCTTCTTTTTGAGGATTGAAGTCAGTAGTTAGATCCTGCATGTATGTTGATTTCTCTGACCCTCGAAAACCACGAACTCACGAGTAACAAAGGGTCGCTGCATTTTTTTTTTTTTTTTAAATTTCACTCGAAATGACAATGTGAAAAAAAAAATCGCTGCTAACCTAAATCTCAGACGTCTTCACCTTGGTGGTTTCTCCTCCTCTCCTCCGCGGCTCCGCCTCTTCGGTCTTCCTTCTACGTCCCACCGTCGCCTCTCTTCTGCTGTGGTGGTTCTTCTTTTCACTAATCCACTCTTTTTCTTGGTTTATTTCTCTGCTCTGAGCATGTCTGATATTATTGTATTACTAAGCAATAGGGTTTAAAGCTTTCTCTGACCCTGATGTATTTACTCTCATATCCATGAAAGACAGCAGTCGAAATCCAGCCGAGTTGTCTACTAGCTGATCTATGTTGGGCATAGGGTAGGAGTCTTTTGGGCAGACCTTGTTCAAGTCCGTATAATCAATGCAGACTCTCCACTTCCCGTTTGTTTTTTCACCATCACCACGTTTGCCTGCCATGTTGTATACTGAATTTCCCGAATGAACCCCACATCCAATAACTCCTTCACATGTACTTGAAAGAAAAAGGTATTTGAAATATTATTGAATTGTGTATTAATCTGATACAAAGAGGTCTCTATTTATAGAGACTAAAAAATCTAATTCTTGACCTAATGGGCTTGGCCCAATACAACAAATACTAATAATAATAAAATATCTAATATTTACAACACTCCCCCTCAAGCTGAGGAATAAATATTTATCATTCCCAGCTTGCTAGTAAGTTCTTGAAATCTGTCTGAAGGAAGTCCCTTTGTCAATAGATCAGCTAATTGACGCCCAGTGGGAATGTATGGAGTGGTAATCAACCCGCTATCAAGTTTCTCTTTGATGTAATGGCGGTCGACCTCAATATGTTTAGTCCGATCATGTTGAACTGGATTATGAGCTATACAAATAGCGGACTTATTATCACATATCAGCTTCATAGGTCCCTCACATTTTATTTTGAGATCATCAAGTACAATTTTCAGCCACAGTAACTCACAAATGCCTTGAGCCATAGCTCGAAATTCAGCTTCTGCACTTGATCTGGCAACCACATCTTGTTTCTTACTTCTCCATGTCACCAAGTTACCGCAAAGAAACATGCAATAACCAGTGGTAGAATGACGGTCAGTCACAGATCCAGCATAATCAGCATCAGTGTAGACTTCTAAAGAGAGATTACCATCATGTCGGAATAACAATCCTTTACCAGGAGTAGCTTTAAGATACTGAAGAATTCTCTCTACTGCCTGCATGTGTTTCTCCTTTGGATCGTGCATAAACTGACTGACAACACTAACAGCATAAGCTAGGTCTGGCCTAGTATGAGCCATATATATCAATTTTCCAACTAGCCGTTGATATTGCCCTTTATCAACTGGAGGACTCTCCTCTTCAAAGCCTATCTTGTGATTATGCTCAATAGGAGTATTAGAGGGTTTACACCCGAGCTTCCCTGCTTCTTTGAGAAGATCCAAAACATATTTCCTCTGACTGATAAAAATTCCTTTGCTTGAATGAGCTACTTCTATCCCTAGGAAATATCTCAGTTTCCCAAGGTCTTTAACTTCGAACTCAGAGGCAAGTCGTGTCTGCATAATCTGTCTCTCCACAAAATCATCACTTGTGATAATAATATCATCAACATATACAAGGAGCACAGTAAGCTTCCCATTTTGGGAGTGCTTGAAGAAAAGAGTGTGATCTCCTTGACTCTGTCTATATCCTAAGGTCATCATAACCTTAGTAAACCTTCCAAACCAAGCACGAGGTGACTGTTTCAATCCATACAAGGCCTTTTTTAATCGACAAACTTTATTTTCCCTCTTCACAGAATCAAAACCAGGCGAGATTTCCATGTAGACTTCTTCTTCTAACTCACCATTGAGGAAATCATTTTTCACATCAAATTGATTTATATCCCAATTGTAATGGGCAGCAAGGGACAACAAGATTCTCACTGTATTCATATTTGCAACTGGAGCAAAGGTTTCTCCATAATCAATGCCATAAGTTTGAGTGTAACCTTTGGCGACTAATCGAGCCTTGTATCTCTCAAGAGTGCCATCAGAATTATATTTCAGGACATAAACCCATTTGCACCCTACTGCTTTCTTTCCGTTGGGTCTATCAATAACCTCCCATGTTTTATTTTTCTCCAACGCATTCATCTCCTCTTGCATGGCTTGAGCCCAATTCCCATCTTTCAAAGCTTCATGTACTGATTTTGGGATTGAAGTAGAATCTAGTGCTGAAACAAAGCTTTTGTGCTGCACAGAAAGATTAGCAGAGGAAACAAAATGGGAGATAGGGTATTGAGTACAAGAGGGACAGGAAGAACAAGTTTTCTTGGAACAAGATCTTTTTCCTTTTCTTAAAGCAATGGGTAAATCATCAGAAGCAGTAGTAATGGGTAAGTCATCAGAAGTATTAACATCATGATCAGAAATATGAGATTCAGGACTTACCAGTGGTTCAGACGATTGAGGTTGCTGTTGAGGCAATGTGGGCTGTTCAGACGATTCAGGTGTTACAATCTTTCGCATCTCTGGTGTACTTGATGTATCAGTCATAGGAGGATCAGTCACGGGAGAATCAGACATAGACACATTAGGAACAGGAACAAGAGGAAGAGACATTGACACAGGTGAAGGAGTAGACACTGAAGATTCAAAGAAGGAAGGTGATGAGTCTTCTGGTGAATTATTCTCCCCTGAAGATGAGGACCTTGGAAAAAGGACTCAGATTCCAGAAATGTAACATCCATAGAAACAAAAAATTTCCGACTTCCAGGGTGATAGCACTTGTAGCCCTTCTTATCAGGAGCATATCCAAGGAAGACACATTTAAGAGCCCTAGGATCCAACTTACTGCGATGCTGCTTATGAATATGAACAAAGACAACACACCCAAACACTCGAGGAGGAAGACTTTGCAAAGTTGGAACAGAAGGAAAAAAAGAAGTCATGGAGTGAATAAGACTTACATGATCGAGAACCCGAGTGGGTAGACGATTGATCAAGAACGTTGCAGTAAGAATGGCATCTCCCCAATAGCATTTGGGTACATGTGTTTGAAACAGTAAGGCACGAGCAACTTCAAGAAGGTGACGATTTTTCCTTTCAGCAACCCCATTTTGTTGAGGGGTGTCTACACAAGTAAGTTCATGAATCATACCTTGATTTTGTATAAATTGGGAAAAAGAGTGATTGACATATTCAGTACCATTATCTGTCCTTAGTCTTTTGATTTTTTTACAAAATTGAGTCTCAATCATTTTATAAAATTGAAAGAACAGTTGTGGTACCTCAGACTTTTCACGCATTAAGTAAACCCAAGTTACACGAGTGCAATCATCAATAAAAGAAACAAACCATTTATTTCCAGAAGAATGAGGGACCTTAGAAGGACCCCAAACATCAGAATGAATAAGATCAAAAGGTTCAACACTCTTAGTAATACTAGAAGGAAAATACACACGATGATGCTTAGCAAATTCACAAACATCACAATGAAAAGACTCAACAGACTTAGACAAAAACAATGACGGAAATAAAGATTTGAGTAAACTAAATGGAGGATGACCCAAACGCTTATGATGCAGCCAAATTAAAGAATCAGCAGTTGATTGACCATGAGACACGAAGGTGTGATCTGTTACTTTATTTGCGGGAGATTGTGACACCAGATAGTACAGCCCACCTTGCTCTTTAGCACTACAGATCGTCTTTCCCGTGGCGAGATCCTGAAAAACACAATGGGTAGGGAAGAAGGTTACAGTACAATTCAAATCTTTTGTAATTTTGTGAATAGAAAGAAGATTCGTGGAGAGTTTAGGAACATGAAGAACATCCTTAAGATGTAAGGACTGCTGTAAGTTTATGTCACCAGAACCCGCAACTGATGTATGTGAGCCATCAGCTATGGATATTGTTTGAGTTCCAATGGTAGGATGATAAGAAATAAAGGAGTCAGCACAACAAGTCATATGATCAGTAGCACCAGAATCAACATCCCAAGAATGTTTAAAATCATTACATGAAGAAATGAAAGAATGAGTTTTGGAGCTCATACCAGTCATAGCCAAAGCACTAGTATCAGATGGCTTACTCAGATAATCAAGAATGGTTCGAAGTCGTTCCAACTCATCTGGACGAAATGCAGATTGGGTCTCATTAGGTGCAGGGGTTATTTCAGAAGAAGTAAAATGCGCTTGACCACGCATCCTTGCCATCTTTTCTAAGACAGTTTGCTTTCCATAAAGGCGAAAGCATAAATCCTTGATATGACCTATTCTTTTACAATAAGAACACCATCGGTCATCTCTCTT